ACTCAAGAATCGTTTTATAAAACTCGAAGAATCGTTTTATAAAACTCGAAGAATCGTTTTATAAAACTCGAAGAATCGTTTTATAAAACTCGAAGAATCGTTTTATAAAACTCGAAGATCGTTTTATAAAACTCGAAGATCGTTTTATAAAACTCGAAGATCGTTTTATAAAACTTGAGAATCGTTTTATAAAACTCGAAGAATCATTTTATAAAACTCGAAGACCGTTTTATAAAACTCGAGAATCGTTTTACGAAACCGCGAAAAACCGAAACAGCCGTAAAACGCGAACTAGTAGCAACTAGTTCTCCCACCGGCGAACTAAGCCAAGCTGGCTTAGTTCGCCGATGGGCGAACTAGGAGACCCTTGACTAGTTCGCCGGTGGGCGAACTAGTCCAACTCGACTAGTTCGCCGTTGGACGAACTAGAGACTTCCTGGACGTCCCGAGCCTTGATCTCCCGCATCCCCGATTCGAAACTTACGTCTTTCGACACGGTCGCATTCTGAACCACGGCCTAAATGTCTCCCGTTCCATCTCGATCCGGCCTATCGTCCGAGTTTTACGATAAAAACCGTAAAACTTCGTTTTCTCGACAAAGAACTCGAGGAAATCGTATAAAATGGCAACGGTTAAACGGAACACCGAACATTGCCTAAACTATACGATTTATTCGAGATTTCTCGTTAAAATTGTAAAAAACGCGTTTTTAATAAAAACGTCGAGTAAATCGTAAAAACGCGTTTTTAATAAAAATGTCGAGTAAATCATAAAACCTTACGATTAGCTCGAGGAATTTACTAAAAACGGCATCAGATCAGGAAACGATCCCGTACAAAGTCAGAAAACGGATTTATTGCAGAACGGCCCGTAAGGTCCTAAAACGCGATAAAAGCCCATCTCGCAATCTTGACGGAATCTAACCTGAAGATACGATAACGTTTTGACGGTTTGCTCGCAGGAGGAAAATAAATGTCAAGCTTGAAGATAAAAGGCAAGTTTGAAGAAAAATAGAAGATTTCCGCGGAAGAAAAGGAAGGATCGAGAAAAATGGAAGATTCCCGATATACTCAAATCCGGGCGAAATGGAAAGACCGAATGGCCAAAGCGAGGAGTATATAAGTAAGAGGTCTAGGGCAGAAGCAAGGGACACGAGTTTTCAGAGCTTTCACCACCAAACTTAGCATTTAGGCAATTTTTCGTTTTCGTTATCGAGCTGCGTCTCAATTAGGGTTTTAGTCTTAGATTGCTAGAACTAGGAATTTTGCCGACAGCTTACGCAGCTAAGGCAACTCTCGTTGTAACCGTTCTTACGCGAATTCGGAATAAGAATCCTTCTTGCTTTCAATCTCGTTTTTATTTTTAAATCTTTCAATTTATTCATATTAATCGTGTTCTTGGTTACTTGTCGTTGGCTTTCGCAGAGATCCGGTTCCTCAGGAAAATTAGGGTTTTTCTAACTTTCCTTATTTTACGGAAATCGACAGGTGTGAATTTCGGTTCTCACATTTTGTTTGGTTTTACTTTTAATTAGTATGGCAAATGTCCTTTAGGTGTTTGTATTGCCAAGAAACAAAGTTGGTATATTATAAAGGTTTATCAAAAAATGTTACAAACAAAATTCAGAAAAACGAACGAGAAGAGAGATTTGTTTGGGTTTTTTTTTCACATTTCACCAAATTCGAAAAATACAGTAAAAAGGAAATCTATAGGTTTTTTTTTTACAAAGCTCAGGCTTTAAAAAAACTAGTAAGTACCAAATTGATGGACCTCCAAAAATCAATGCAAGTTTCAAAACAGAAACTCTGCAGTTTTATGAGCATAATTGTTTGCTTGATGACATATTCTTTGATTCTCTTGAGCTGGAATATAACGCTATTATGTTGTTTTGTTCCATTTAATTATGTAAAATTATATGCTTTTTATGTTATCATTGTTACTACGTGAAAAGTGAGAATGAAATGTTTGACTAGATAAGAATTATGTATTTAGCCAATACTGAAAAGATTGAAAAGTTTAGTTGTTTCTTTTAGTTTTAGTCTTTGAAGAGAAACATAATTATTTCCAGAAAACATTTATATACAGTTTGGTTTATCTTAATTTTCAAATTATAAATGATTACACATTTCATTTAAGTTATTTGATATGATATGGTATGAAACTCAAGTAAAATTCTGATAGAAATGTAATACTTTATTAATTTATAACAATATTAATCTATAAAATTATTTCAAATAGCATGAGAAAAATTTCCAATAATTTTTTTTATCAAAATTTCAACAAATGCTAAAATAATTTACAAAAACATAATTAGTAAAACACTAAAAATTAAATAAAATTCATTATAAACTGAAAGCTAATGTAAAGTGAAACAAACATATATTATGAGAGATCATTTGTTGTTACATAATATATAATAACTAGGATAAGACATGCGCCTTGCGCAGGGTGAATATATGTAATTAAAATATAAAATTTTAGTATTGACAAATTTAAAATTTACATATGATTGTTTTTGTATGTATTTGAAATTTCAGAATTTTGAAATTTTTATACAATTATCTATACGTAGGATCAGAAACAATTTTAGTTAGAAATGTAGATCAAATCTTAGAATTTAATGGATATGATTTCATATATCTTTTTCACTTTTCAGTGTTCGACTGATGGAAAATAAATGGAGTGTCATTGGGCTTGATTGGTAGAGTATTAGCAAGTTCCCTAATGTTTTTCAAGAAGCAATTGGTAAATATATTTGCATTTAAAATATATAAAGTTTCAAAACTAATTTAATATAATTTATTTATCTGTCTAAAAATATTAGAAAATTATATTTTTACAAATTATTATTTTTTTAAATAATTTATAAAAAAATATTTTAAATTTTAAATTATTTTTAAAAACAATACTTTAAGTTTTTCAAATACAAATAAACAATTTAAAATTAATTATTGTCATGATTTAACATAAGTATAATGATTTAAAAATTAAAAATTAACAAATTAAAAATTAACTCAGTTTTATATCATGATTTTACAATTTAAAAATTAATTATGGTTATGAGAAGTTTACGTTCACGTGTCAGTCCTATTTATCTTCCATGTTTCTCTTGCTATGTTTTTTTTATATTTTGGTTATTACTGGATATAAATATTTGTTTTTAATTTTATTCTCATTTTGTTTGTTTTAGAAAATACTTAAGATTTAAAATAATTAAAGAGATACATACTTAGGTAAAGATCTGCACTTTATGCACAATAAGTATTTTATATTTATTATTTATTTATATCTTTCTGCATATTGTAAATAATAAAATAATAAATATATATTAAATAACTAAGAAGTCAGTTACTATTATGTAATAAATTGACGTATGCCTATAAATTGAACTATTACTCTTGTTTATTCACAATTAGGGTAAATAAATCAAAATAATCAATCTTATATATTGTATATGATATATAATTAAATTTGAATGATATAAACATAGTAATATTACACACTTTTAATATGTATATTTATTAAATGAGGTTTCTACTCATATGATTTTATGATTATTTGCATATTCGTGTAACAAAACTTTACACCAACAAATTTTTTTAATTTGAGATGTTAGTAGTTTCAATAATTTATAATCATTTTAAAAAAACATTGACTTATTTCAAAATTAAAATATTAACTTTTCAATATATGTTCAAGGCAAATATCAAAATATAAATATGTATTTTCATACGATGTATAGTTTAATTAAAATGATATTAAATATATAAAATAAAATTATTTCTTCATATGGTCTTATAATCATTATATTTTAGTATAGAAAAAAAAATAAAACCTTGATCTTAAAAGTTTATGTGAGACTTTTAACAGTTTTAGTAATTTATACTCATTTTGAAAAATTCGAAATACAACATAAACAAAAAAAATCTAGATTTTTATTATATGATTAATGTAATTGTGTAATTTATTTTAATAATAAAGAAATAAACAAAATGAAAAAAAAGTATACAGATTGTTTAAAATCATTAATTGTCATATATATATTTTGATCACATTAGGTAATTCCGTAGGTTTTATTTAAGGAAAGCATGCGGAACAATAAATATTTGATATATGCGACCAACTATAGCCTACGGAATATTATATTGCTAGAGAATATAATTTTTAAACTATACATTATATCACATGCTCTAGAATCCTTAGGATTTGAAATAGAAGCCAAAGAGCTATGCCACGTAGGATTGGGGTTATTTTTAATTCTTACAAACTTAAGGTTACAACTTTTTAAATGATTCTCAAATAATATATAGGGGATTTTTATTTATGACTTTATTGAAACTATTTAAATACTACTTTAAAATATAAATTTTTATACTTTTATCACATTACATTTGTTTTTCAGTTGATTTAGCTTGGAGTTGAATGTATTAATTTATTATCATGAAAACTTAGATTTAATAATAACATTTGATATTCTTAGAAATTTAGAAAACATTAGTTACTTTTACTTTAGATTTTCTTCATATATATCAAACTGAAATAGAAATCAAATAGAAAAAATAGAAATCATTACATTTCCCTTAAAATTTTAATTTAATAATCTTGTGTTCTCTAACAAAAAAATTGTTAGTGGTCATTCAACTAAACCAACAAAATTTACAAGATATAAATATAATTTTAGACTTAAAGCTGATTACAATTATTATTTTGATGTAAAATAAATTTTCAAATGTTTTCTAAAATTAATATATATTTTAATACAAAATAATTTTATTGTAAACTCATCACTGCAGGACGGGCTAACTCTTAGTTAGTATATAACTACAGCATTATTGTATTCGTAATTTTTTGTGTGTTTGGCAATATTCTTTCATTTGTAGAAACCAGACCCGGATATTAATATATTGGTCAAATTGATTATCACGACGAAGCTATTTTAGAAAATTATTGGAAAAAAAAAAAAGTGAAACCGAAACTTTATAATAATGTAATCGTGACACGGCGAGACGATGAGGTGACTGCATCAAAACATACGAGGACAAGGTTCCTTCTTTATCGTTATCCCAAAAAAAATGACGGCCAAACCTGTCACAGCCACGTGTCAATCCGATCTCCTTGGATTGGCTTGTTCGTTCGATTTATCACCGGTCACGTCTTTATCTAATCATCTTCCTCGAAACCTGCAACACACAAAATAGATTGCAGATTCAATCTCTTAAAATATTTTATATAGAAAGGTATTTCGTGGCTTGGAAAGAGAGAGAGAGAGAGGATCAAAGATGGATCACGAAGCAGATGCATACCGTACGGATTTGATGACCATCACGAGATTCGTGCTGAATGAGCAATCAAAGTACCCAGAGTCTCGTGGGGATTTCACCATTCTGCTCAGCAACATCGTTTTGGGATGCAAATTCGTCTGCAGTGCTGTCAACAAGGTAACATTTTAGAAGAAAATAAAGTGTCGCTTTCGATTTTGGTTTTTGAGCTTTTGATGATGATCTGGAATCCACTTTAGATGTCAAGGTCATAACTTTTATTGGTGTGCAGGCTGGTTTGGCCAAGCTTATTGGACTTGCTGGGGAAACAAATATCCAGGCAGGTTTATGTCCTTGTCTAATTCAAAGCTTTTTCTTTTTGTGTGTCTAAGATTTTACCATTGTGTAATAAATAAATAGGGTGAAGAGCAAAAGAAACTTGATGTGCTCTCTAACGATGTCTTTGTCAAAGCTTTAGTTAGCAGTGGCAGAACTGTAAGTTTAAACATACCTTTTTCTTATGAAGACTCAGCATAGTATCTTCTAACTGATTATTTATGGCAATTCAAACCTTTTTTGGCAGTCTGTTCTTGTCTCAGAAGAAGATGAGGAAGCTACTTTCGTGGAGTCATCCAAGCGTGGAAAGTAAGTTTAGTGATGAAAATGTTTTTTTTTCCTTGTATTGGTTATTTTCATTGACAATATCCGTATTTCAATAGGTACTGTGTTGTTTTTGATCCACTTGATGGATCCTCAAACATCGACTGTGGTGTCTCCATTGGAACTGTATGTTTCCCTCACCCAACTTCCCCAAGAGTTTTATATGATGTCAAAGTTTGTCTTTTCTTGGATTTGGCTTTCGTGTGTAGATCTTTGGGATTTACACAATGACCCACAATGATGACCCAACTACTGAAGATGTATTGAAACCTGGGAATGAAATGGTTGCAGCGGGTTACTGTATGTACGGAAGCTCCTGCATGGTACTAAAAATAGAAAAGTTCAATCAGTGTGATTAGTTTATTTCTGGTTTTATAATTTGATGTGATTTTGGCTCTCTCAGCTTGTGTTGAGCACTGGAACCGGTGTCAATGGATTTACCCTGGACCCATCTCTAGGAGAGTTCATATTAACTCACCCGGACATTAAGGTAATGGGAAACCAGTAAACATGATCTCTCTCTTTTTCTTCTGTTATGAATGACTCAGCTCTTCTTGTGCACAGATTCCCAAAAAAGGAAACATCTATTCAGTGAATGAAGGCAATGCTCAGAACTGGGATGGTCCAACCACAAAGTATGTAGAGAAATGCAAGTTTCCTAAAGATGGTTCTCCCGCAAAGTCTCTGAGATATGTGGGAAGGTATTAGAAGTTGACCTTCTCTATTTCGAACCTCTGTCAAAGAAAATAGCATATACTTATGTTCACATTTGGCTAATTTCTTTGTCTTGACAGTATGGTTGCCGATGTTCATCGCACACTGCTTTATGGAGGAATCTTCTTGTACCCAGCTGACAAGAAAAGCCCCAATGGGAAACTACGGTAAGCTTAGTTTGATGATTATGCTTTTGAGTTTGATGATTTGAAACAGCAAAACACCATAGGAACTTGAGCTATCTTGTTTTTGTACATATGAACAGTGTTCTGTATGAAGTCTTCCCGATGTCGTTCTTGATGGAGCAAGCCGGAGGTCAGGCCTTCACTGGCAAGAAAAGGGTAAACTAAAACGCAACCTTTCAACGGTTTTGTTTGTTACGGTTAACGGGTCAAGTAGTATAACTTGAAATGCTATGATGCAGGCGCTAGACCTTGTGCCGGAGAAGATCCATGAGCGTTCTCCAATATTTCTTGGTAGCTACGATGATGTAGAGGAGATTAAGGCTCTGTATGCTGCAGAGGGATAGAAGAACTAAGATTCTCATTCTTCTTATTTCATCACTTATCTCTCTTATATCTATATCTTCTATTGAGACGAACAAATGACTCATTTATACAAGGGAGACTTTTTCTCAGTTTTTCAACGCACCTAAGACATATTTTTTTCATTTTCTATCCTAATCTTTTTCCAGCTTGCAACACTTATTGCTGGATCAGTCCAAACCTATTCTTATGACTTCTTCAGGATGTGGATTAAACTTGTAAGCTAACCTTTATTCCATGAAGTATTTGTTGGAGATAAGGTTCAATAGCTTGGAGCCTGAGTTTTTGGTAAAGAGATGATTTAGGAAATAAGGAAATAATGTTTAGTGCAATTCTTAGAGAATTCGGAAGTTATATCGGGGATGAGTTGTGTCAAAGATATTGAAAATCAAGTATTTAGTGCTGAGTTGTTTTCTAAGGAAGTTTACTCAAACAATATATATTTTAAATCATATTATCAGAATTATATACAGTAGAACCTCTATAAATAAATACTCGATAAATTAATATACACTAAATATCTCTGTAAAATAATATAATTTTATAGTTCCAAATTGAATTTTTGGTTCAATTAGTATATCGATAAATTAATATCTCTCTAAATTATTAAAAAAATAAAATTTTGGTGTAGTCCCAACATTATTAATTTATAAAGGTTTCACTGTACAACTTTTATTATTATTACCATCTTTTTAAAAAACTAACGTATCTTTTTATTGCGTTATGAAAAAAATATGTATTTACAAAAAAATCAATTAGCACTACAAGAAAACTAAGATTTTACTAGGAAATTTTATTAGGAAAATATTTCCTCGTAAATTTACTACGAGTTTACTTCGGGTTTACGAGGAAAACAAGTTTCCTCGTAACGTCCACGTAAAGTTACGAGAAACCGTTTTCCTCGTAAGACCGTAATAAACTTACGAGGACACTACGTGGCAAAAGACCATTTCCTCGTAAGCTCGTAGTAAATACTTTCCTCGTAAAGTCCTAGTAAACTTTTACTACGAAATTGGGAGGAAATAATCTTTTACTTCAAATTATCGAGGAACTTGATAGAAAATATCTAATTTAAATCTAAAACGTGTTTTGTGCCTACTTTTCCTAGCAATTTCCTAATAAATGGTCAGATTCAAAAATTTCTATAAGTACCACCATTTGTGATTCATTTCAAACACACCAAAAAAACTCAGCTTTAAGCTTGATCAAAGACAAAAAAAAATGTCCGGTCCGGGAATATTTTCGAGTTGCGGAAGTGGATGTATTCACACAGAGATAATAACAGGAGAGTGACGAAAGAATTCTCGAAGGGTTGGAGACGTTTATGCATCAAGCAGATTCTACACCACTCACGCAGGAAAATGGTAAGATGTTATGTACTTGTCGGAAATGCTGCAATACAAAATTAGACCCTCGTAAAAATGTTTGGAAGTGTTTAATAAATAGAGGTTTCGTTCCATATTATTATATTTGGTATCAACATGGAGAAGATACTAATTGTAGGAATGAAGGTAGCAGTAGTAATAGTAATTTTCAGGTTTAACCGGTTGATCATTTGCGTAATGAAAATAGCTATCATCACCAAGAGGAACAAATGGTAGATTGTGATAGAGTTCATGATATGGTAGGTGATGCATTTGTAACTCATGATGATGATGAAGTTGAAGAACCTAACTTAGATGCAAAAAAGTTTTATGAAATGTTAGAAGCTGCGAATGAGCCAATTTACAGTGGTTGTAGAGAAGGTCTGTCTAAATTGTCGTTGGCTGCTAGAATGATGAGTATTAAAACCGATCACAATCTACCTGGAAATTGTATGGATGCATGGGCAGACTTGTTTAAAGAGTATTTGCCAGAAGACAATTTGTCTGCTGAATCTTATTATCAGATTCAGAAATTGGTATATAGTCTTGGTTTGCCCTCCGAGATGATAGACGTTTGCATCGACAACTGCATGATTTACTGGGGGAGATGATGAGAAGTTAGAAAAATATCGATTTTGTAAGAAGCCACGATTCAAACCGCAAAGTCGAACGCGTAATAGGGTACCGTACCAAAGGATGTGGTACCTACCAATCACAGACAGATTGAAAAGATTGTACCAATCTGAGGAGACTGCTGGAGGGATGAGATGGCACGCCGAACATACTCAGACGGATGGAGAGATGACTCATCCATCAGATGCAAGAGTCTGGAAACATTTTAACAATGTACATCCACATTTCCCTAGCAATAGCCGGAATGTGTATCTTGGATTATGCACTGATGGATTTAGTCCATTTGGAATGTCTGGGAGACAATATTCATTGTGGCCGGTCTTTCTTACACCGTACAACCTGCCACCGGAGATGTGCATGCGACGAGAGTTTCTATTCTTGACCATATTAATACATGGTCCAAAACATCCAAAAAGATCTCTCGACATTTTTCTACAACCACTAATAAAAGAGTTGAAAGATTTGTGGTCAACAGGGGCGAGGACATATGATTGTTCAACGAAAACAAACTTTATGATGCGAGCGATGTTTTTGTGGACCATAAGTGACTTTCCTGCATATGGTATGTTTTCTGGCTGGACTACACATGCGAGATTAGCTTGTCCATATTGTAATGGAATGACAGATGCGTTTCAGTTGAAGCATGGTAGGAAGACTAGTTGGTTCGATTGTCACCGTCGATTTCTTCCCGTTTACCACCCATACCGAAGAAACAAGAAATTTTTTCAGGCACAAAAGGGTTGTCAAAGACACTCCTCCTCCATATTTAACTGGAGAACAAATCGAAGCACAAATCGATTACTACGGTGCTCTAGAAACAGCTCCTCGTGGTGGGAATTGGCATGTTCCCAGTAATATGCATGATTCTTATGGTGTTCAGCACAATTGGCACAAAAAGAGTATATTTTGGGAATTGCCATATTGGAAAGATCTTCTTTGCGCCATAATATACCATGGTTTGGACCCACTTTTGACCATGGTATTTATCTGATTTTATAATATATTTATATGTTTTGGAGTCTATTAGGTCTGTTTTCAGGTTCAGGAGCATTTTGGAGTAAAATGATGATTAAGGTGCCCTTATGGAGCTTAAAGGAGAGTTTCCCCGAGATGACTATAAAGATCAGACATTAAGGTCGATGTGAATGGAGACCTGCATGATCAAGGTGGTCACCTGCGTAATGCAGCAGGTGAGAAGCTAAATGCTCAGAAGGAGATCATTCCTGAGGAAGAGACTGCACCTACATATCTTATTCAACCAGTAGAAGAGGCTAACAGAACTAGAACTTTGGCTGACTACAACCGTCCGAATCAGTTCTACACCAACCGATCAGCCATACGCCCCCTGCTATTCATAGAGGAGATTTCGAGCTCAAGCCGCAGTATTACACACTTGTAGGACAAATACCCTTCTGTGGGTTGTCCCATGAGCATCCTATGGACCATCTGGAGAGGTTCGAGGATCTCATAACCGTCATCAAAGCCAATGGAGTCCCTCAAGACTATCTTCTCTGCAAGCTTTGCAAATACTCTCTATCTGGAGAAGCTTTGCAGTGGCTGAGACAACTACCACCAGGTTCTCTCACAACCTGGAGTGACATCAAAAACGCATTCCTATGTAATCTTTTTGATAACTCAGGCGCTGAAGAATGGAGGAGGAGATTGCTACATTTACTCAAGATCCTGGAGAATCGTTTAAGGACACATGGAACAGATTCAAATCCTACCAGCGAGATTATCCACACCACGGTTTCAACAACGTGTAACTGCTCTGCACTTTCTACAGAGGCATCACTTTAAAGTACCAGATGGCTCTTGACACAGCAAGTGAAGGCAATTTTACCACCAGGAATCCTCAAGAAGCTGTGAAGTTGATTGATTACTTAGCTTCAAGCAACATCACAAAGAATATCATGAAGACAATAGCTACATCATTCCTTGGGAAGGAACAGATTAATGAAGTGCAAGCACAGCTGGATCATATTCAGAAGCTACTAAACAACCAGATTTGCTCAATGGAGGATGCAGAGACTGCAGTTGAAGAAGAATACACAGAAGAAGATGTGAACTGGATCAGTGGAGCCGGTTTTTAGAGGGCTGGAAACCAAGGAGGATACAAAAACTTCACAGGACAGAAGAGCAACTTCAACCAGAGTTCACAGAGGCCAACCAACTACAGCAGCAGCAACCCCCCAACAACAATAGGAGTTATGGTAACTCATTCTATACAAATCCACCCCCACCCACCCAAGACAGTAAGCTAGAAGAGATGCTAGACAAAGTTCTGGAGAGTCAGCAGAAATTTCAGATGGACATCAATGGAAAGATCGATTTTATCTACACCAACCTCAATACCAAGCTTGATGGTTTGAGCACCCATGTGAAGAAGTTGGAAACTGAAGTGGTTCAGACAGGAGAAGCATTAAAAAAGCAAAAAACTTTAGCGAAGGGAATGGGAGAGTTTGCTACTCTCCATGATGTGCATGCCCTCTTGGATGATGATTTTTGGCAGAAGCTGATAGATTCTGAAGATGACGATGATACAGACTACGACTATGAACTCAAACTCGAATATTATCAATCGATAAAGCATCTTGAGTATCGACCGATGCCTTCCAAAGCACAGCGATCGATAGACTTTGCTGAGTGTCGATCGATAGACTTAGCCGAGGCCTCTTACGAGTGCAAAGCCGTCAAGATTATGTCACATGAAGCCTTCGAAGCATGACACCCACATCCGCCCGTCACTATCCGCATCAATTCTCATGACATCGATCGACATGATTCCTACCCCATCAATCCACAAGCAGACCAAGATATTGATCGACATACACCAGTCCTTGTCGATCGATACACAACACCCCAACGTCGACTGCAACTTCCAAAGATCGACGTTTCACGACTTGATGCACTCCGGGAGCAGTCTAAACCTTCCAAAAACCTTCCCACCATCATCATGAAGAGACCCACGGACATCTTTGAGCCCATGGAAACAGAAAAGGAATATCATGGAAGAGTTCTCCGAAAAAGGAAAGAGAAGATCCCAAGCCTTATAAAATGGAAGCTAATGAGAAGGAATTAGCAGGTTTCAGAAAGAGAGTTCTTAGAATACCTAAAGATAAACCCTTTGAAGAAGCGTACTTTTCACACAAATTGTGGATGTTTTTCAGAGAGACTAGAGAGACAGAAGAAGACATCAAGAGAATGTTTCACCAAGTCAGAGATAGTCTAAAGAAGAAGATTACACTGGAGAAGAAGAGTGATCCAGGGAAGTTCACAATACCATGTTCTATAAGAGGTATTGAATTCCCTCGTTCCCTCTGCGACACAGGTTCTGGAGTTAGCATCCTACCCAAGATCATCGCATACCATCTAGGTCTGAAGATAGAGCCTACTGAAG